AAAACCACATCTTGAGTAATATAGTTTCTAATTGTATAAAAATAAAGTTTTGAGGAAATTAAATTTGAAAAGACAATAACACTTGGCTTTCGCTTCCTTGTTTCTAGATTTTCTCAATGATAATCTGAAATAAGAGAAAAATAATAAATAACGCAGAACACAGAGCGACGTAACATGAGAAGATGCTTAATATAAAATAAAAATTTACAACTTCTTAAAAATCTGATGCCTTAGTATGGACATATCTTTTACAGCATTCAAAATATGTATTACACCTATTTATGAATGATTAAATGATTATTCCCTTCCATTAGTATGAAATAATTACATAAGGACCTAGAATACAACATGCAGAGTAAGCTCCCAAATGCTCCTCTACACACAGTATAAACCTAATAAGAATGACTAACTTATTTCTTTACAAAAATGGAAATGTCACATATGTAAAGATCCAGAAAAATCTTAAACGTAGACCAAACTACTACTGGAATAACATATTAACAAATTGAAAACAAAGAAACAAACAAACTGGCATCATTTCTGAAGATTTATACTTCTGTGCAGAGTTTCAAAATCTGTAATGTGTAAGCCATGACTTTCTATTGCAGCAACTGACTTTGGAAATAAATTGAGATAGATTACATTTTGGGGGGAGACTGATCACCTTGATGAATATTTTCCTATCATCTTTTACCTGCAATCTAATAATATGAATGAATAAATTACTACTATGTTTTTATGATAATGATAATAATAATAATTATAATAATGATAATGTTAATAAAAGCAATAACAATAATAATAATAATAATAACAGCAACAATAACAAAAATAACAACGATGACAGTGATAATAATAATTATTATTATCACCATCATCATTATTATAATTATAATTCATCTACTTTTTGTGGGGGGGAGGGGCATTCTGATTTTGTGATGAACTTTTGTGCCTTCATTTCCTCTAATTGATGAATATAAAGATACTGTGCATTAAAGGAAGATTTAAATTATGACATCAGTTAAACAATCTATTCAAGGAAATTACCTGGTTGTTATATTTACCCTTTCTGTTTATCTCTTAAAAGTAATCCTCAAACATTATCATATTAAAAATTGTATATATATTAAGACTCTTACAAGACTAGTAGAAAATGCAAAAAGTTGAGAGGGTGTTCTACTATACTGACAATGAATTTGGCTCATGCAGTATTCTGGTCATTAACCCATGGACGCAGTTGGTAAGATTACATGCCGTGTCCACACAATTTTAATTTAGTAATCGTGGTGACACAGAGATGGCTCCACAAGTACCGAGTCACCAAGGAGCCTATTACTAGTCCTACCTATCTTACCTGTTTACCATCTTCCTTGACTTTTGGTGAGATTTTTTTCATATCATTTTACCAGTTTTAAGGTTATTAGTATTCTAATAACATTACAATAATCATGGTATCAATAACAATACTAGCAGTATCAATACTAATAGCATTAGATTGAGGGAAAGGAGAAACAAACCAAGCATAATCAAGGAATGGAATATCAGGTACAGTCACATGGGCTTACAAACTGACTCCTTGGTGGCTGAGCACTTGTGAAGCCATCTGTGTGCAACACCATTCACAAAAGATGACCGTGGACAGTACATAAACCAGCAGCCTTTGGGTTAACCGAGCCATTTACGCAGAAACATTATCATTATAATCTCTCTTGTGTATATTCTTTGGTGTGACCATCGTATTAATGACTGGGAGTCAAATTTAATTGCAATAATATTAATGCTCAATTTACAGACATTCCAAGATTCCATAAGCTATGCATTTTAGCACCTACTTTAATATGACGAAGAGTTTAGAACTTAACACTAGGCATTACCATAAACCACTACATCTATAAAAACACATACCATACAATAGCCCCATTGGTCAGGAGTCTCTAAAATAAGCAAATTCATTAGTTCATAACAACAATAATCAGAAGAGATGTGATACCAAAAATACTGTCAAATGAACCATGGTACCATATCATTTTGGTAAATATCCTTAGAAAGAATAGTGTAAGAGATCTACACCAGCAACAGAGATCGTTTTTCTTAATGCACATCAAAAATTGATATATTTTGAACTCAACAGACAATTGAGAAGCAAATACTACATTACATTTTTCTTCAAACATACATTAACATCCACCTTAATCTATATGGAATTCCTATGCTTTTATGCACATGTCAAAAAATATAGTTTAATTATTATTTTCTTTTTTCTCTTTTCATCATCAAAGATTTTACATGTATATTCCTAGCAATTTTTGTTTGTTAGTACAACTACTGAAGCTGTAACAAGCAAAAATATGTACAAACCCAACTGCTCCACTTAAAGACATCTTAAATATTAGGGAGAGAACTTTAATCTATTACAATAACCCATAGAACAAATGCCCATTACCTTTGATAAAACATGTGGAAATATCTGATGAACACAGAAGCAAAACCTACTCTACATGGACAGAGTCGGCAATACATTGCTGAAGTTACACTATTCATACTAGAAGTTACAGTGAAAATGTTATGGAAGTTCTATACAACACTGAGATTTAATTGTAGAATGGACAGCAAAGACAAAATCTGCCACAGGCTAAAATGAAGAGGGGAGATGAAGTGTGTTTGGCACCAATTCTAGCATCACCAGTGAGTGTATTCCTGCTGAGTGACAGGACACAACCTTTTTCAATAAGGTATAATGCAAACACAAGAGAAAGGAAAGAAAACAGAAAAGAAAAAAAAGAAAGGAAGAAAAACTACTCAACACCTTTTGAAATCATTTATAAAAAATAATGATCTTTGATAAAAGAAAAAGGAATTCAAGGTGCTTTATAGTGGTTATGTTATAATTCCAGCCATTCCTAAGCGAAATATTTGTTACCACATGCATTATCCATGCTATACCTATCTTAAGACCCTACTGCAGCACTGCATGATATAAAGTTATCCTACCCTTTGAGAAGCAGAATAAAAATAGTGATGAAACAGACATCCCTTCAGTTCTGGCTATTTACAATACTAAAGCTGAGAGTATAAACATCGGTTACAGAGCCCAAGGTAGACTGAAGAACATCACATACTATACTTTGGTATCAACTAAAGATACAGGTTCTTGTTGACAGAGCAGGTGTGAGAGAGAATCACAACTTCCTAACTGACAGGCAGGAGGAACTACACAGCTGCAAGACAATCAAATGCAGCTGCGTCTCATTTTATTTTGAGTGTTGTTGCTTTTTTTGCAGGCATTACTGTATTTGTGTTGTGTGTTAGCAACAGAGTAGTAAACGTTATTTTTCATGAAGTGAAATGAAAAACATAACTAATACAGCCACAGTCAAAGTAAATGCAAGAACAATATCTAAATTCATACAAAAATTAATATCATTTTTTATATGTGCAAGCATTATGTGCTGCCCCTAATAGCATTACAATAGTGTTGGTTAATGCTACATTTTAGGCAAACTGTATCTTTTTTTTTTTTTGTATAGTTCTACTAACATTGATTAGAAATAAAATCATCAAGTCATTCATACAAGTACTGTATGCAAAAAGCATGTTCCTTACTGTGTTTTTTTTATGTTTCTGAAAGTGGTTCAACAAAACCTTTGCTGCAAGCTGTGTGTGGCATCTATCACATAGCACAAGATTCAGGCAACTTCCTCAAAAGAGGAGTTGCAATAGAAGCATGAGAGCTCTTGCTTTACTTAAACCAAACACAATAAAAATTCCTGGTGAACTAACACGAAACTGTCCTGTCAACATATGCTACATCTAAGAGGATTTTGCAGCAGATAGATGCATAAATATGTACATCTAGCATAATGCATTACCATATGCAATACAGCTTTGCTTGGGAGGATAAATCATAAAATAAAAATAAAAACAATAGAAAAGAAAAGAAAAAGAAAAAAAACAGCAACTTCTACCCACTGTATTGGTAAGTGCAAATCACCATAAAAAGCAAATGTGGTTTTGACTTTTTTTTCTCTTTTTTTGCTTTGATTTTTTGGTTTTCTTTTTAGTGTTTTGTGGCAAAGCTCCAAGGAAGGTGCGACTCAGAGCTAGTGACCTTACGCTGTGGAGTGATTCGGTTAGTTGGAGCCTGTGACAGTGCGTCCAGAGAGCTCATATTAATGTTAGGGAGATTAAGCCTGGTCATTAAAGGGTTCAGTTCGCTCTCATCATTGGCTACAGTTACCTGCTCCCACTGCCGACTGGCTGAAGAAAGCTTGATGGCATCGATGACTGCCTGGACGTACTGGCCATCCTCGAAGGTGGCTGCGGTCGAAACGGGTTCCTTGAGCCAACCGTGCTCCCCATCCCCTGTGGCAAAGGCCTCCTTGAGCGCACCCGCCAGCCGAAACAGGCCCTGCAGGTATGGCTGGGGCAGCAGAGAGTTTATCCTGGCACTGTTGTTCTTGTTGGTGAGATGCGCCACGTCATCAGCTCCTTCGTGCAGCAGCTCCTCTTCCTTCTCCGAGGTGTGTCTCTGGCCGTAGAGGTTGGCCCCGCGCACAGCCAGCCTGCCTCTGCTGCCACATACCACCACCTCCTGTACAAAGCCCCCTGCCATGTGGCTGTTTAGCGTGGCTGTCACACAGGCCCCCTCGTCCAGGATCATCTGGAAGCTACAGAAGTCATCGCTATCAATCCAACGGATACCATTGATCTTCTCTGTGCTCTTGGTGAAGGTGCGCATCATGCCATGGACACGAGTGGCGCGCTGGCTTGTCACGAAAGAGATCACATCAATGATGTGGCTGCCCACCATGGTCAGGATGCCCCCTCCCATCAGGTGGCTGCACATCCAGTCAAACTGGCTGCCAATCATGCTGCCGCAGTGCACTCTCACATCACACACGTTGACTGTTCCAACGTAGCCTGCCTCAATCTGCCGCTTCATGTGCACAAAGGCTGGGAGGAAGCGCAGGCCATGCGAAATCACCGAGATCAGCGAGGGA